CAGGGAGCCCGATGTGGGACTCGATCCCAGGACCCTGGGATCATGACCCGAGCCGAAGGCAGACGCTTAACGACTGAGCCACCCAGGCGCCCCTGTAAATTGTTTTTAAAAGCTTCCATCCTGGCCCACTGCTAATTATTACTGACCCAGGAGGATCTGTACTAATTTGCCTTAATAAACTTATTAAATAGTAAATTTCAGGAGGAAGAGACGACACAGCCTTTATTGGATTAGGGAAACTGCCAGAGCAGAGAGAAGCCCGTTGGTCGCATGGGGAAGCTGGGGAGATCAGTGGGCCAAGTGTGTTTTCAATAAACTGTCACTGGCTATGGTTTTGTGCCTTCTTGGGGGTTGTCAGCAAAAATTTCTAGCCTCCAAAGCAAAAAGGAAAAGCAGAAAAGAGAAAAGGCAGCTCAGAGCGGAGAGGGGTCTTCTGACTTTAGCCCCTAAAGCCCCACCATCCATGCAGGGGCCGGCCTCGCTGGCCTCGGGAGGCTGCCCCCTGGATTTGGACAAGGGCTCTTCCCTCGAACCCAACGCAGGTCATTAAGCATGGGGACTACGACATGGAACGGGCGGGCAATGCCAAACCTCCAGGTCGTTGAAGAACAGATGCGTATCTGCAAGGTTGAAGATCATTTCTTCCATCATCAGGCCGATGCGCACCGACGTCGTGGTGTCCTGGTAGAAAGAAGGGACAGAGTCACCTGCCAGCAGGGCCTCTCTCTCCCATACCCCTACCCCCCGAAAGGCAGTCACGGACATTCCTGATGGACTCCCACGCGGTCCAGGCTGTGTCTCTGCGTGGGGTCAGGGTGATGATGCTGGATGGCTTCCGAGATTTCACTCCTAGGTGCCGCTAGTTTCTACTTGCCCTCTTTAGTACTGCAATCTCCCCCATATGCCCCTGTAACTGTGCTCAGCGTTGCCAGATCCGGGAATGGCAGCAAGAAAGGAGGGCCCCTCCCAGCCTTTCCGCTTCCAGGGAGGCCTGGAATACTACAGGGAAGTGGTGTAGACTGGGTAAAACCCACCGGGAGAGCGGACACGTTGGTTCTCTCTTCACTACAGTCTCTCTGTGGATGCTGTCATCCTCCTCCCGGTACATGCAACATCACTGTTTTCTCACAAGAGTTTTAATTATAAAAGCAAGCACACAAACAAAACCCCATTAGGGTCCCTCCGTACCCCGGAAGACTAGGCCACCATTAAAAAAGTAAAGTCATGTGAGAGTTACTGACATGAAACTAGCACCAAGATATGAAGTAGCAAAAGCAAGATGCACCACAGTGGGAGGTGTGAAACCCAACTGGGCAGTCAAAGGGTCCCTTTTCTCTCCCTCTCTCCTATACACGTGCCGTGGTAGACAACCTGTAGGAGGACGATCTGCACCGGGGGTTGGCAACTAGAGCCATGGGCCCAATCTGGCCTGCTGCCTGTTTGTGTAGGGCTCATGAGCTGGGAACGACTTTATGCACTTTTTCTTTTAAGAGAGAGAGAGAGCCCACGTGCGTGTGTGCAAGTGGGGGAAGGGGAAGAGGGAGAGAGAGTCTTTTTTTTTTTTTTTTTTTAAGATTTCATTTATTTATTTGACAGAGAGAGACACAGCGAGAGAGGGAACACAAGCAGGGGGAGCGGGAGAGGGAGAAGCAGGCTCCCCGCCGAGCAGGGAGCCCGATGCGGGGCTCGATCCCAAGACCCCGGGACCACGACCTGAGCCGAAGGCAGACGCCTAACGACTGAGCCACCCAGGCGCCCGGGAGAGAAAATCTTTAGCGGGCTCCACACCCAGCATGGAGCTCAACGTGGGACTTGATCCCATGACCCCTGAGGTCATGACCTGAGGCGAAATCAAGAGTCAGACACTCAACTGACTGAGCCACCCAGGCACCCCGACTTTTTACATTTTTAAACAGTGTATTGTCTATGGTTGCTTTTGCACTTTGAAGGCAGAGGTCAGCATGAGCCACAGAGACCCTGTGTCCTGCAAAGCCTAAAATATTTACTCTCTGGCCCTTAGCAGGAGGAGTCTGCCAATCCCTGATATATACCCTCCCTGTTGAACTCAGATGTGACCATGTGACTTGCATTGGGTAATGATATGTGAGCAGAAGTTATGTTTCATTTCTGGTCTGGAGCTTTAAGAGCAAGTGGTTGGTCATGCTCTCTCTTCCCACTTCACGAGACTAAATGTTCCACAGAAAAGATAATGTGGGTCAGAGCTGCGACAGACCAGAAGGGGCATGTACCATAAAAGAGAAGTAGATGACATTTGGGGGATGTTTGTTACTGCAGCATAACCTCACCTAACCTAACTAATACACATGAAAAATACTTGGCACAATGGTTCTCAATTCTGGCTGCACACTATAATGATTGGGGGCATGTTAAAAATCTTGATGCTCAGACCCTCCCCCAGGCCGATAAAATCAGAATTTCTGAGGATAGGATCCAGGCATCAGGAATTTTGAACTCTCTCCACCCACCCAGTTTCAATGTGCAGTCAAGGTTAAGAACCACTGGTCTAAAAGGATATACAACACTTAGTAATATTCCAGGTTAATATCCATTAAATGCTTTCTCTGTGCCACTGTACAAATTAACTTAATTCATTTAATTCCCACAAAGACTTATGAGTTGAACGTGATTATTTTCCCATTTTACAGATGAGAAAACTGAGACTGAAAATGGTTAGGTAACTTGCTCAAGGCCCTGCAGCTGGTGCGTGCTGGGATTTGAACCCAGGTCGTGTGGCCCCAGAGCAGCATTGCTTGTGTGGAGGCCTTGGAGGGGCTGGAGTGGCAGGAGGCGTGAAGGGGACCTGCTTGAATTTTTCACGGACAGGCTGTCTTACTTCTAATATAAAAACAAATAATTAATGACATAAACCCTTTCTGACCCTGAAAAAAAAAAAAGGAAAAAAAAATGTAGCTGGTGATCTCAGCTTCACACACACGACTGTGAAGAATCAAGCCCAGGAACACAGCCATTAGGTGAAACACCTCATTAGGACCCCAAAAGCCAAAGCTTAGCACTCCAGGTCCTGGCTGGAAGGCGGCAGGGTAGAGTACTCAGTGAAAAATGAAGAAAAAATGAGGAAAGAAAGCGTTTCAGGGCCAGGCTGGGAATCGGTGTGTGACCTGGGAAAGGGTTTTGGGGGGTGTTTCCACACATTACTCACCCCCAAACCACTTCACCCCTGCATGATTGCACGTTACTTCCTGGCGAGGCCGTGCACCTAACGACAGATGAGCAGCCCTCTGTGTGCTAGACAAGAGCAAGAAGCTGCCGTCCACACTCATCTGCTGAAAGGATTTATGTAGAAAAATGTCAACTCCCAGGCCAGTGCATAAAACAGGAAAAGCACTTATTGTATATAGAATGGTCTGTCTGTGAAAAGTATTTTGTGTAGCTAGAAGAAGACAAATACTCAATACTGATACAGTTGAAATTACATCTTATCGATACTGGCAGGATGTGGGGAGGAAGTCTGCATGTGTGTGATGGGGGCCAGGCAAGGGAAGAGAGCTACATTCTCATCTTCTAGTTTGGGAAGCCAGGGAGCATGCCTAAAATGGAAAAAAAAATCAAGAAATAATAACATAATCAGGTTACTTAGAAATTTGGAGGTAAGTACCAAAAGAATCAGCAAGAGTTGAAAGTTGTTGCCTGTGGGCAGAAAGAAAGGGTTTGTGTGGGGTCCACTGGGGACTGCTGTTTCTCTTAATACTTTCTTTTGTAGAACTATGAGTTTTAAAGTATATGCATGTATTTCCTGGATTAAAAGAAAGCTAAATTAAAAATAAAAGGGAACATACTGAGGAATTCCACTTCCCATTATCTATTCTAGAGAAAAACCCATGCAGATGAACAAGGGCCATGTAAAAAGATGTTCATTACAGAACTGTTTGTAAATACCAAAGACTAAATAGTTTAGCTGTCCAGCCAAAGGTTACTAGAGAAATAAAATGCAGTATATTCGTTTGGTGGAAAACTAAATTCAGTTGAAAGAAATGAAGTACATCTCTCCATGTATTAGTATGGACATGTCAAAAAAAATAGTATCGAGTGAAATTGTTTTCTGAAAGTTATATACTGCATGTTATTGGCATTTACTAAAAACACATACCATGTTACTACATATTTTCCATAGACACTTAAATATTTATAAATTTCTGAAAAGATATACCTAGAGTAAAAACAGTAATTACTTCTGGAAGGCAGAGAGGTGGGGACAGGAATTAGAGGTAAAGATGAAAGTGAACTTTAGCACAAGCTAGAATTTTTTTTTTTTTTAAAGATTTTATTTATTTGACAGAGAGATAGAGCCAGAGAACACAGGGGAGGGAATGGGAGAGGGACAGGGAGAAGCAGGCTCTGCACTGAGCAAGGAGCCCAATGTGGGGCTCGATCCCAGCCCCTGGGATCATGACCTGAGCCGAAGGCAGATGCTTAACCATCTGAGCCACCCAGGCGCCCCCAAGCTAGAATATTCTAAAATGTTTTGAAAGAGAAGGGATTCAATACTTACCATATAATTAAAAATTAAAACAAAATTTTGAGGCGCCTGTCTGGCTCAGTTGGTGGAGTGTGAGACTCTTGATCTCCGGGTTGTATGTTGGCGCCCCATGCTGGGTGTAGAGATTACTTAAAAACAAAATCTTTTAAAAAAATTCAAACAAAAATTGAAAGACGCCCAGATGCTTCTGAGGAGAACCTTTAGAATACCCATCTACTCCTTGAGAATTCTCATTGTTTCAGGTTTTCCTAAAATCTGCCTGCATGCTGGGTGGAGATTGTTCTGAACTCCACAAGTGGGACCTCTTTTCAAGGAATTTGATAAAAACTAGCTGTAAGAGGTGGAAAAGTCTAGAATAACCCAACTGTCCCAGGAGTTAAGTAACAGAGTGTGACCCTGAGCCAGACCACTTTATCCAAGTAGAAAATGTTTTTCCAGGATTGCAAAGACTGAGGAACTAAGAATGAAAACACACACACACACAAAGGGGTGGAGACTCAGCAGTAATTAACGTGAAACCCATCCCGAGTGAGGGCAAGAGGGAAGCCACCGGTTTTGTCTCATGCTGCATGCCGAATCCACTCCTAATACACTCCACAAACACACCACCTTGGTCTGTTGGCTTCAGTCACTCTGTGCAGCTCGGAGGGGGATCCTTTTCTGATCTAGCACGTCTCCCTGTCAAATAAAGCCTAACACAGGGAAGCCTTCGCGCCATGTTCTTCAGCTAAAAACAGACCACTAACCCATTCAAACCCACTCTGACCCCTCTACCACCCGAGATTGCGGTGAGGTTTATGTAACAGGCACCCCACAAGTGCTGTCATTGTCTAAAGCTCCCAGGCCACGTCCTCAAACCCTTACGCAAAGAACCTGCGTCTGTAAACCCAGCAGGAACATCCCAAACCAGGTGGTACCTTACGAAAACCACCTCTTAATCACAACATCCTCTTTGGATTAAAAAAACATCAGCCTTGTTTAGGTTCATTTCCTAAACAAGCAACAGCAGACACAGATTGTTTTTAACAAATGATCAATTTAAACCAGAAGGGAGAACTGAGAAAAGGGATTTTTTTTTTCCCCCCCAAAACAAGCTTCAATTTGTAACTTGTCCACCAAAGGACCGTGCTGGGGGCGGGTAGGGTTGGGTGGATGGAAGGTCATCTTTGTTTGACTTGAGAGTTTGGGGGTGGTTCTCTCCCAGAGAGGGGACAAATCAAAGGCACTGCAGATTTTTTCAACGTGTTCTAATGATCCCCCCCCATATTGGCGTGGCCGGCTGGGCTGTGCGCGCGTTCATTCAGGAGGTGGATGCGGAGGCTCCGAGCTTTGGCACCCTGCCTCGGGGCGGATGCTGTGGGCCTGGACGCAGCTCTGCAATC